CTGTTATGTTACAGGCTCATAGAACATAGAATAGTGGCAAAGACAGACCAAACAAAGAATAAAACAAGTGCAAGCTGTAATTAGCTCTATGATGGAAGAAGGAAGGAAGGAAGGAAGAAAGATGAAGTAATAAGGAACCAACTAGATCTCCAAAGAGGAGATTTTTCTTAGCTGAATCCTAAGGCATGAAAAAGGGTCTAAAGAAAGGAGTTAACAGAATTCTGGATAATTAAAAAAAATTTTTTTGTTTTACCAAATTCAGTGTGTTTTGTACCTAATGATAAATGACTAACACGACTGCATTTTTAGGTAAAATTTTATTGACTTGCCTTCATGCTTAATAGAGACATTCATCTCATCAAGCTGGATTGTTGTTGTTTTTAAAGAATCCTGGGCTCATGTTAATACCAGACAATCTGAGCATCATCTAGAATCCAAGTGAGAAACACTTGGCAGGAACCCACCTTGTTCCCAGAACTAAAATCCCTATCTTCACACAACAGTGTAAGATACCCTACTGAATGAAATCAGATTTTTTTTTTTTTTTAAGTGAAAATGAGATGAAAAGGATTGAGAAGGAGCCAAGTGATAGTTAAGTTAATCTTCAGGGGAAGGAAAACATGTCAGAAAATGTAAACCAGATCAGGCCAACCCACGTTAGAGTTCTGCAGAGGGAATTAAATTCCTATGGAAAAACAAGTCTCTGATTATGAAAGGATTTGACTGTGTGGAAGAATCTGGAACATCCACCCTATTAAAAATACTTGTAAAACCAGGGGAATCATGTAAGAATTTAGCTGAGAGAAGGGGGAGAATGCGGGCTGCCTGAAATAGAGTTATTATTTCAGACACTGTATCATATTCGTAAGGCTACAACGCAGAGAAAATTGCTTTATTACAAAGAGCAAAATTTATGATCAGGTAGTACCATTTAATTCTTAGTGGCTCTGTTAACCCTTTCTATGTAACTCTGCATGTCTTAACCGTGAGAAGTTAATTTTAAAAAACAAAAGTAATCCCAGTGTATGGAACACGTGGTGCATTTGTTTTCTGATCCAAATAAGATAAATTAACACCAGAATTAATCCAAGCCCAGGGGTGAACCTTCTTTGCAGTTTCCTGGGGACAGAATAAAACAAACCAAAAAAAAAAAAAAAAAATTGTTATGTGTTAGGAGACATTGAGATTAGCAAGAATCTGTCCCAAACTGGGTGGGTAAAGCAGGAACTATTAAGATGTCCTTAAAATAGGGCGCCTGGGTGGCTCAGTCGGTTGGGCGACTGCCTTCGGCTCAGGTCATGATCCTGGAGTCCCGGGATCGAGTCCCGCATCGGGCTCCCTGCTCGGCAGGGAGTCTGCTTCATCCTCTGACCCTATCCCCTCTCATGAGCTCTCTGTCTCTCTCATTCTCTCTGTCTCAAATAAATAAATAAAATCTTAAAAAAAAAAAAAAAAAGATGTCCTTAAAATAACCAACGTTACAAGCACTCTTAGAAGGAAATGAAAAGTTTTAGCTCATTGCAGAAACGTATAGGCAGCGGCGGCTTTCTAAATAGAATTGTTTCAGCCAAGAAGTGTTTGACTGGGGGCTGCTGAAACAGGATCTCCCATCCTCCATTCTGTCAATTGTGTGGCTTTGATACAGGACACCACTGGGAGTTAGTTTAAGGCGCATCCAGGTAAAACTTTTGTTTTGTTTTGTTTTGTTTTGACCGATGGGGCCTTCCAGGAAGGTGCCTTTGTTCCAGCTGCAGCTAATGAGGGTTGGTTGGTGGTGGTCAGGATGGCTAAGCAGTTTGCAGATGGCCACCCGTTACTTCCATTGGGGAAAGTGGTGCCTCGGGGAACGTTTCGGCAGACTGTTTTGGCCTGTTGTGGCAAAAACCCTCTCCCCTCCTCCCTAATGCCAGTTCACCAAGTGCCTAATTTCACAGAGCTCAGCAAAGAAGAGTCCGTTACTGTATCAGTTACTGAATCAGACTGGATTCCACTGGGTGAGCCAAGGGGAAAGCCAGGTTCCCATGGTACACGTCGGCATTAGCAAAGGCGAGTTGGGGGTGCCTTCTCTGTGGATGTGGGGTTCGTTTTCTCTCCCCGTTGAGATGCCATCGATTCCAAGATGCTTTTTCCTTCTTCAGCTCTTCTCCTTTGGACTCACTTTCTGAGCGGACTCCTGATTCGGTTGAAATGTCACCGCCTCCGGGAGGCCTTCCCGGACCCCTCATTCTAAAGCAGTCCCCTCCTCCCACTTCTCCATTGAGCTCTATCCACGGTGATGTATTTTCTTCATAGCACTTACCACTAGCTGATGTTTTCTTGTTTATCGATTGATTTTGTTTGTTTATTTGCTCTGCCTCCTGTCTACCGAATGTGAGTCCCATTAGAACAGGACCCATCTGGGAAGCTAAGACGGTACCTGGCACAGTCGGCAGTCAAAAGTATTGAATGGTGGATGGATGGATGGATGGATGGATGAGCATAAAAATTACATTTTGGGTAACCTTCACTCTTTGGCATAGGAATTCAACATCTGTACTTTGCCTAAGAAAATGCCTGTGTGAGGGGCCAATGGGGTTTTGGAACCGAGGCCAAGGGAGGAGGCCAGATGGTGGCTTTGGTGGAATTGGTGGGGTTAGACTCCTGCAAGCAATGGGAATTCAGACAGGTAAATGATTCCTTCTTAAAAATCAGACTGCTCTTTAGATTTAGATAGCCCAAAGCGGTCATGCACAAATTGGTATAAGATGTTTAAATAGGTGTGCCCCTTGCTTCCCAGCAAACTGAGAGGATAGAGTTCGAAGAGGAGGAAGATGCTGTTGGCCAGCGCAGGGCTGAGGGGCAGATGGGAGTTGTGGTGGGTTTCAGAGTGCGATGAGGAGGTTAGTCAAAATGGCACCACACAGACAAACTGTGAGAAAGGTGGAGAATAGGAAGAATCTGGCACATCTTGGTAAGACAGAAAATGGGTAACCAAGAAATCCAGTCTTTTTTTTTTTTTTTTTTTTTTAATAGGATTGCTGGATGGACCTGGGCGTAATTTGCCTCAGATGTGTGTCCAACCTCCCCAAGTCAATTTTTATATATAGCCTCCCTCACTCACATCCACCCTATGGGACCCTGAACCCCAGTGCCACCCCATGCCCCAGTGTCCTTACATTTCTCCCCCCTACAGTGTTTTTGTCAAGAAGAGAGGAAGGAGTCCTGGGCCATCCCTGATGATCCATTTAAAACAATGATTTGGGCAAATCCTTTGCTGAGCCTTCTTGGACATGGCTTCATACAGCTCCCTCTGGTCCTCGTACCTCCATAAACCTTCCACGTTGTGCTGGCACCATCTGCTTAAACCTCAGTCTTGCCCTCCAACCCTTTAAGGGCAGGGGCTCTATTTCTTCAGCCCCACCTCCTTAGACCCTGGCCCCTGGCACTGCAAAGCACTGAATCATCCATTTGCTCAGTCAATAGGTATTTCTGGAGCACCTGCAGTGTGCCAAGATGATTCTAAGTTCTGGGGTTTCAGCAATAAACAAAACATTTGTTGGTGGCCCTCATGGGGTTTATTGGCTATTGAGGACCTACAACAAGCAAGTGGTCCCCACCCCCTCACCCCCAAAATATATGTATATATGTGACTACCAATTGTGAGGCATGCTATGAAGACCTGATCGGAATTTAGGGCTTGGGGCTACCTGGGCAGAATGGTCCAGGAAGGCCTCTTGGTGGAGGTGAGGGTCAATTCAACACTGAAGAGCAGGCTGTTTGTTGAGGGCCTAGAATTCACTTTCATTCACCAACCTGGTATGAGTCTGAGTAAGGACCCTATCATTCAGTGGGTTGACATTTGAATTTGGGAGGTTTGCTCAATGCAAACCATGTACCCAGAGATCTCTGCCAACAACCTCCACAGTGGGCAACCACGTCATCCTGGTTTGTCCAGAACTTCACCAGTTACAGCGTGGATAGCCCTGAGTTCCAGGAAACCCCTCAGTCCCAAGCAAACCAAGGTAGTTGGTGACACTACCTAAGAGTGACCAGACGTTTCTGCTGCATGGGACGTGGGAGCACTGGGGGGTGGGGAGGCATGCAGATAACCCAGATGGGCAGAATTTCAGAAGCAATGGAGGGAGAATCCAGTAGAACACTGAGTTACGAGATCAGGAGCTGCAAGCCAAATTAGCCTCGATTGAACCTTTCACTTTTCAGTGAGACAACACACATGGACACTGCCTTGAACAGAGTGGCAAACCACAACAGGGTTGTGACCCAGGGGGTGTCTGTGAGGAGCCAAGCCTAGAAAGGTACCCAGATCTCTGGGCCCTGTGGCCAGCACGGTCAGGGCAACGGGATGTGAAAGGATGAGATTGCATCTGCACTGGGTTCCCTTTGAGCCCTCACTTCCCCCTGGTGACCCCTGCCATGCAGGGGCTCAGAGCAATCACGGCCAGGTCCACAGAGGAATCTGAGAAACTAGGGGTAGGGTGGTGGGGTCAAGTTCAGATCCAACATCCCCTGAGAGAAAGAGATCTGGCCTGCCTAGAGTGGCTAGATTAAGTAAAAATAAAAACGCTCAGTTAAATTATAATTTCAGGTAGATGATTTTTTTAGCGTAGGTATAGCCCATATTGTATGGGACATATTTATATAAAAAATATTTGTTGCTTATCTGAAATTCCAGTTAAATTCAGTGTCTTGTATTTTAACCTGCAACCGCGCTGCCCATTTCCAGAGCACCATCCTGCCCTGCACCTGGTACCGCCTCCCACCCCACCAAAGGCACGAGGCCCCAGATGCAAGAATGCCAGCAGTTTGGCAACAGCACCAAGTGTTACATTTTAGCTCAAGTTCACAGAACAGCCCAAATTTCATTTTCTCTAATACCTGGCCAGAGACTCTTAAAAGAAATAAACTGAGCATTCAAAATAAACCCAAAAGACAGAGTGAATTATGGTGCCCCTGGCTCTATCAGATACAGTGGAAACCTGAAAGTTAAGGAGAGAGGATACCTTTCTCCAAGAGCCTGGAAAGAAGCATAAAGGTTCCATCGTGACCTCTCTTCCAGCCAGGGGCAGCTCGTATTCTGGGAGAGACTGGTTTGCAGTTGCGAAGCTGCCTTCAGGGGTGGTGGAGGCTAGACTTTGTCCAGGGGGACCAGAGGCAAGGGTTGAGCTCTGTAGGCAGCCTGTCACAGGGGACTCCTGGCAGGAAGAGCCTCAGACTGGCTCAGGCTCAGGAGCCTTTAGTCATGACTACAGGTCACACCCCAGAAGCCACAAGCTGTGCAGAGAGAGGCAGGAGCAGAACATGAAGGGGAGGACAGTCCAAAGGGGGAAAAGGTGATAGAAACCAGGGCAGAAGAGAATCAAGCCAAGAAGAGGAACTGCATTATCGTGAGTCACCATTGTAGGGTGCTAAGACTGCGGCACATGGGAGCATCTGACTAGACCAGTGGTTCTTAACTGCAGTGTGGGGGGGATGCGGAGATGGTGCCCCCAAGGGACATTTGGCAACATCTGCAAACACTTCGTGTTGTCACAACAGGGTAAGGGATCACTACTGGCCTCTAGTCGCCCAGGCCCTGCTCAACACCCCAGAACGCATGGGACAGTTCCATGCAAGGAGGAATTGTCCAACCCAATGCCTACAGTGCTGAGGTTGAGACAGATGAAATGATGCCACCATTCTGCGTCATGAGTGGCCTCTGAGTAGGAACCAATGTACTTGGAGTTTCCAGGTCCCCACACTCCGAAAGCCCAGGAGATGTGCAAAGGAGAACAACCCCTAAGCGAGAAGAACTGTGGCAAGTGAGAATTAAGAGGGGGACTTTCTCCCACCAATCATTCCCAGTGGTTCCTTTGCCAAAGTGTATGCTTATTAACCAATTACAGCAGAGATTTACAGAGTGGAATTACATCTTCATTTAAGAAGGACCAACACCATTCCCTTCAAGCCACTAGCAAATGCTATGGGGCTTTAATGTGACCAAAGACAGAGTCAGCCTAATAGAGCCTGGGTGTTAATGGGTGCTTGGGATTTATGCTTTAATTGTCTCCACAGCTCCCTGTCTCACGGAGGTATTTGTCTTGGTCCGTGGACACCAACAGCGTGCCATAACATTACACACAGGATTATGAGGGGTTTTTTAATTATTATTTCACCTATAATTATAGGCAAGATCAGTTTATTATTTAGAAATCCTTGAAAACATTTTAATTGAAATGGTCAGTGGCCTTTAACTGACCCTGTCTTAAAATATACCCTGGCAACCAAAGTGTGTTCACCTCCTGGATTAATAAGGAGAGTCCCTGTTCTAAACCAAATCATAAGCGTTATTTAAAATTTTGGATTTGAGGGTTTTTTTTTTTTTTTTTTTTTTAAGATTTATGGCACTGCTGAAATGAGGTCAAGTAGAAGCACTAAAGAATTTAATTAGAAATGTCCTCACATGCTCCCTATAGCTGTAAACCTCACATAGGTTGTCCCTGGAGAGCTTGGAGTCATTGGAGATGGCATGTACTTTTTTTTTTTTTTTAACTCCTAATAAGAAGGAGCTACAATCTGCTGCCACGTGTTCAATAGGGAATGCTGGGGATCTAGATAACAGGGAGACGAGGAGAGGTGCGTGGAGAAGCCAGGCTTGGTCGGCAAGGAAAAAGACTAGAGCATCTCGTGTGGCCCCAGGGGCTGGCCTCAGCAAGAGCATTCATTAATTTATTGCACACATTTTCCAAGCACCTTCCGTGTCTCAACACTGTGCAAGGGGCTGGGGGCCCAGGGGTGACTGAGTTGCGGTCTGTGTTCTCAAAGATCTCGTGCATGAATGCAACAAACAGAAGGACTGAACAGATAAAACTGAACAGCACCTTTGCTTCGTCCTAGAGAAGTATGTGCAGGAGTCGGTGGGCCCCGAAGGCTGGAAGGCTGGGCTTACCCTGGGGAATCAACCACCTGGCAGTCTTTGCCCAGGATGTGGGTCTTGAAGGATGTGCACCTGGGTGGACCTGGAGAAGGGAGAGGGAGGGAAAGGAGACCCCAGGTAGAGGATACCACCACCTGTGCCGACACATGGACATTGGCTAGGCTGGCTTACCAGAACCCTTTGATGTCCCAGCGTTCCTCTGACCAAGAGGGCCAGCTGGGCCTGGGAGGTACGGCAGGGAGAGATGCCAGGAAGCGACTCCATTTGAAAGTCAGATGCTTGATTCAAAGATCTTCTTCTACTTGCTGAAGCCCACTCTGTGACCCCACCAGCCAAGGTCCAGCTAGGATGGGCTACGGAAGTGTCAGGGTTTCGGGACCCGGCTGGGCTTCCGGGGGTGTCTTGGGCGGTGGTGCTGGCACGACTGAGGAGGGAATCTTGGGAGAGGGACAGGAAGGACACCTGAGTTCTGGGGAGGCTTGACCGGCCGTAGGGAATGGGAGAGGGTGCTTCTTGCCCTTCCCTCTGCAGCTGAAGCCCAGTGTCAGCAAAGAGCTCAAACAATAGCCACCATCAGGACTATGCTTGCTGTACCTGTGGTCCTCGGCATTTTTCTCCGTTATGATTTAATACTTATAACAACCCTGCATGGTCAGGTATTTCTAGAGGTTGGCTCCCCCGCCCCCACCCACCAGCACCGCAGTGAGGAATTGTCGGCCAACACCAATTAAATCAAGTCCTCCTGTAACTTACCCTAGAGAGTCACCTGTGTGGGAGGAAGCAGCTTAATGCAAATCCAGGCTCACAAAGCAGCTGCCCCAGTGGCTTTCAATCTGAGGCTCACATTTGGAAAAAAATCTCTTTTCTCTTTATCCTATATGTGGCTTCTCTCTTGGGCTTACATTCCCACAGGCCAGACATCCTCCAGAGTAAGTGAAATAGAGGTGAACTGACCGCCAGTTACTTTGAGGATTCCCCCAGAGCATCCCAAAGTAAATTCTGCATATGCCACATGTATCAGTCAGCTTTTGCTGCATAACAAACCACCCCCAAAACGCAGTGGCTTAAAGCAGCAATCATTATGATCTCTCACCTGTCTGTCTGTAGGCTCAGGGTCAGCTGATCCAGGCTGGGTTTAGCTCCAGGCTACGGATTGGGTTCATGTCTACTTTGTGTGTCTCCCACTTTCCTTGGACTAGTGTTCCCCAGGGAGCACTTCCCTCATGGTGAATGGCAGAAGTGTAAAAAGGCACATCTGGCGATGCAAGAGCGTTTCAGTTCCCCGCTTGTCTGTGTGCTCGTATCCCATTGCAAAGCGAGTTACGTGGCCAAGTTCATAATGAGACTCAGGTGGCTGAACTGCTTCTTATCCATCTCTATCAGGACTGGCAGAGGCACCGGGTGGGGTCTCTATCTTGGGGGGGGGGTAGTATCAACTCTCCCTTCGCTGGACAGTTGAAGGCAGGGACTGTCCCTGCCCTGCTTTATGTTGGGATAAAGGTGCTGACTTTACCAGCTTGTATCTTCAAGCTTGAGAAACACAACTGTGGCTCTTCCTTTGAAAGAATCCTGAAGCAGACTTTAGCAAAATAAGTTGCTTTTCTAGATGAATATAACTCTTACTGCATTTGAAAAATAAATGTGCACTAAAAGTAATTAACACATGTTGGTTCATGAATAATACACTATTTTACAACTATCTGCCGAGCATAATGAGACAAGCTACTAAATTGACAGTGAACGCTCTATTACGTGATTGCCAACTGTTTTGTAAGATATTGAACATATTCACTTCTCCTGCCATCATGTGTATTGTCAAGCTATTGCTTTTTAATAAATTAATTTTCCAGACATCTCTGGGGGTCTTTGTTTGAAATCTGGCTGAGGGCAAAAAGAAAGTTAATTGTGTGGCTTGTGCCGAACTACCCACGTCTGGGGGCTCATGAACCAGTGTCCCAATTGGCAGCCCCCACAGCACACACTGCATGGGGCACGCAAGTGTGAAGGGAAATGCCACTACAGCCGAGAACAACATGAGAAGACCCAGTGGTGCCTTGAAAATGAACAGCTTGCTTCCCCATGAAGGTCTTGGGAGGCTGGGAAGGTGTCTGATCCGCTTTTTTTTTTTTTTAATTAATTATTTATTTATTTATTTGAGAGAGAGAGAGAGAGAAACAGCATGAGAGGGGATAGGGTCAGAGGGAGAAGCAGGCTCCCCGCCGAGCCGGGAGCCCGATGTGGGACTCAATCCCAGGACTCCGGGATCATGACCTGAGCCGAAGGCAGTCGCTTAACCAACTGAGCCACCCAGGCGCCCCTGATCCGCTTCTTAAAATATTTAATGAAAGCAAAAATTAGCGTCTGATCCTATTCTGTTCTACAAGCTTATTCTTGTATCCGCTTGTCTACTATTTGTCAAATGTCAATGTCACCTTTGATGGGGGTTTTTATTGGCATCCCATCTCTTCCCAATAAGGCAGAGCTGGGTCCTTTCCTCTGGTCCCACAGTGCCTATGCTTACCCCCATCAAAGCATCCATCATGTCTGCCTTCATTATTCACACTGCCCCGGATGCACGACTCTGGAGGAAGATAGCCACGTTGATCTCCATAAACTGAACCCCTAGGGCTATTACAGAGCACAATGTAACGTTGCCCCCTGCAGTTGTGCAAGAGTCTCTAAATGACCAGTTTATGATCTGTTTTCCAATCCCTGGTCTGAGCTCTGGGGCTAACACAATACGGGATTCCCATGCCTGTATTTCAGGGTATTAAACAGGCCCGATGTTAGGAGGTGCTTAACAGTTGTTTGTTCAGTGAATAAATGACCCATCCTATAAATGCGCTTTCCCATTATTTAGGCAAAGATGGTTCTTCATTGCATGAAAAACCTGCGTGGGTAGTTGTTCATTAAGAATGGCCTGTCTTTATGGTAACATTTTTCCAGCTATTACTGAGCTGGAGTGTTCTTTCTGGGACTTCTGCCATGTCTAAGCCTATCAAATGCATCAAATCTATGGAAGGAAATCTCAGCTGCTTTCAGGTAACAAATTTGTTTCAGAGAACAAATAACTTCAGATGCATATTTACCTGGGCTTTCTGATTTTTAATTGTGTGTCCTCTAGCCACACCTCACACAAAGCTCATGTGCCACGGGGGCCAGGCAGCGAGGGTGTAAACCCCAAAGCTCCCCACCTAATTTTGGGTGGAGTGTGTTTCTAGAGCCTTCTCCGTGAACTTCTTCATGATCTGGACTGGGATGTTGGACTATCTGGGGACTCTAACTTCCTTTCTTTAAACACTAAGGGAATTATCAAGTTGATCAGGGAACACCCAGATTCTGGAATATTATACAGCTGTCACCAAAACACGGAAATGTTCTTGTGGAAAGTCTGTAAAGTATGTAAGTGTTTCAAGTAAGTGGGAGGGAAGGAAGGAAATGTGCCTGTATTCCTATCTCTCCACATTCGTCTCTTGCAGGCACAGCCTTGTTAATAGCCCACAGTGTATTTTCTTTGTGTTTTTTTATGTGTATATTGTCTCCGTAGCTATATTCACATTTTTATAATACTTGCTTTCCTGTTTCCTTCTTTCTGCAGCGTGAGTACTCCCTTTACCGATGGGTTGGAGTGAACCGATAGAAAGATAGGCGGGCTGATGCCTGATAACTAGACAGCCGATGACACGTACATACGAATCACACTTGAATCAAATGGGCAAAGCATTTTCCCTTTGTGTTTGGTGCTGAGACCACAGTCTTCCGTCCCAGAACGTAGGTCATTTTATTTCCACTTCTTCCAACTTTCAGGACCTAGATTGCACTCCTGTAGGACTTCCTTTAGGTACATATCTGATTTTAGGCTAAAAGCTAAAATGCAGCAAGAACTCATGTCCAGTTTTACCCTAGAAACCAGGTCAGAATACCAAAATGGCGGCATCTCCCTCCCCTATCCTTGCCTGGGTCATTAACAGTCCGCCCCTGAAAGCACTAGGCTTTGGAGACATCAGTATTCTGTCCCAGAAGAGCCCACTGGCCAAGAGTGAGCCTGAGGGGGGCCTCTCCCGCTGAGCCGCCTCCTCCCCGGGTGGCGTATCCAGGTGGGAACAGTGCCTTGGCTGTCCCTGCTATTCTGCCTGGAAGCTATTTTCCCCATTTTTCCAGAGGCCAAGCTAATGTGACTACACAGAAAGAACATGACATTTCTTATTTTAATTTGCTTTTTGGGTGATCTTTAAAATAAGATATTTGAACCAGACCTGCCTGACAAACTTCAGCCAGCATTAGACAAGGGGTGATGGTAAATGTGGGGCAAAGAAATGTGACAGAATGCAGCCCTACCCCATTGAATTTA